CTTATATTACTTTTCCACTCGAGCCACTTAACAAAATGGCGGTGTGGGAATTGCAAGCACTCCAGTGCGAACAACGCAAGAAGTAAATAAATATAATTGATGTGGATGTGTATAATAACACACGCTATGAGAAAAAAGGGCTCCGGGAAATAGTTATACTAGTAAGGTAGAAGTTTAACCATCTGTTTGATGATTAATTGGTTGCCTACACAACGCACGTTTGAGGTTACGTGGAATAAGTTGATTTTAACGAGGAAATATTGAAGTATTGAGGATGTTTGTAATATAAGAGAGAAGTGAAGAGAAATCTAAACGGAAATTATGTAAAAATTATGTTGTTTTGTTTATATTTTTAACAAAAAAGAAATTTTTGGGTTAAAAATGTTTTTATTGTGTTTTTTATGGTTATTTTAATATGTTGAGGATTGAAATTGAATCAAAGTGCACTTATGATAATGATTAATAATCATAACAAGTTTGATCTTGTTCGGTGTAATCATTCTCGAGATAATCACTTTTAAAGTGTCGGTAACACTTCAATTTAAGTAAAATTATGACTTTTGAAGTGTTTATTTGATTTTAATGTCTATTTCATTGTTTATATTAGATTATTAGATTATTAGATGTTTTCCGTCATTATAAGGTTAGGTTTCTTGACTATCTTTGCGTGAAATGAACATGGCGGACAATGAAAACTGCCTTTTTATCTGGAGAACCAATGGAGACCTGCGACTTGACTGCTGGGCGACCCAGGCACAACTGAGCATGTTGCGCACTGCGCGCTGCCCTTTTATACTTGCGACAACCCGCAAATAGTGGTGGGGGTAGCGCTACTTGCTCCGCGAGTTCTCCCACGTGACGCTGCTTCCCCCACCAGTCCAGCAGTCCACTCGCAGCTCTCTAAATACCCGCCCCTTTATCTTATAGTCTTTGGTCCCTTTTTAGTAATTCATCTCTTCTTTTTTCTTTCAGGACTCCTTCTACTCTTGACCATAACAAAATCACATGCACAATACTATGGTCCCTCAGACCAACCCGAGGCCTACTTCAATGGGTCCTCCTACATCCGCCTGGAGACAACCATATCACTCAAACGATTAACTGGTATGTCCTTCCGGACATGCGCTGGAGGTGAACTGATCTCACAACAACTCAACGACAACATCTTCCAAATCTCCGTCAACATGGACGGCCTCAACTACTACGCCAAAACAACTGGTAGGCAATACAAAGCGCTCATTCCTGGTATGTTCCTGAATAACCAATGGCACAATGTCATGTTACACTATGGATTTGGTAATCTTACTCTACGCATCGACGGCGATGAAGAACTACTTGCAAACTCAACTCATCAGAATGATTTACTAAGTGGGGATCTGTATAATGATGGTGCGGTCCTGATTGTTGGTAAACACTACAACGGGTGTATCCTGGAAGGTCCCTCAATCAACTTCAACAAGTCCAGTATTCAGGCCCATAGTGTCGCCTTTACAAAATGTCCCATCCCCAGGGATACCTGTCAAGTTCGTCAGGATGTAAAAATGCCTCGCGCGTTTGATTTCTGTCAAACAGACCCATGTCTCACACATGGTGTGTGCAAGAACGAGGTAAACACCTACAGCTGCGAATGTTCCCCACGGTACGCCGGGAAAAACTGTGAGATTGACTTGGGGAACCCTTGTGATGCGGTACCACCAGTTTGCAAGAACGGCGCTGTGTGTATCGATGACATATCCGGTAACTTCAAGTGTAATTGTCCATCTGGGTTCACGGGGAAGATGTGTGACACTGAAGTGAAGATAAACCCGCTGTGTTTAAACAACCCATGTCAAAATGGCGGTGTGTGCCAGGTGCGCGATGATTCCGTCGAGTGTTTGTGTCCCAGTGGGTTCCTGGGAGCTAAATGTGAAGTCAACGTCAATGAATGTGATTCATCACCTTGCCGCAATGGAGGTTTGTGTATTGATGGTCCCAATAACTTCACATGTGATTGTGCTCATACTGGATACAATGGGGTTACCTGCGAGGAGAATATTGATGAATGCCAGGCGAAACCCTGCTTGAACCGTGGGATCTGTTATGATACTTATGGCAGCTACATGTGTCAATGTTTAATGGGTTTTGATGGTCTCAACTGTGAAATTGTAAGCTAAAACCTTAAAAGTTTAAGTTTAACCTCAAAATTATAATTTTTTTGTTTTCCTAATAGAAAATCAGTGATTGTAAGCTACAACCCTGTTTTAACCATGGTAAATGTGAGGAAAAGAATGGCCGCTACGAATGTCATTGCCCACCTGGTTATGGTGGTTACCATTGTGAGATGGAGCTTCGCGCAGCTGGTTCCTCCTGTGATGAGCACTTCTGTGGACCTTTAGCTGAATGCACAGAGATATCAGGTGTCCCTACATGTGCCTGCAAAGCAGAATATGGTGGAGTTTACCCAAATTGTGTGAACAGTAACTGTCCCCCTGGGTACACAGGTATAAAACTGTTTATTACTTGCATTAACCATGTTTCTTCTTAATATTATGTCATCTATTCATTGTGTGCATGCTGCATGTTCACGAAAAGAAGCTAATAACATTTTAATCGGGGCCTTGCAAGGAAGCGTTATGGCTGCTAACGACTTCCGTTACGTTGACGTTGGCGCATTGAAAAAGTGCAAATCGAATAACGATCTAGCAAATTCAACGCGCGGTGAAGAAATGGCACAGAGTCACGACTGTGATGAATCATCTGTTGCAACAACAAAGATGGCTAATTGCGCAAAGAAACCATGTCTGCATGCTGTTAACTGTAAAGACTTTGTGAGTGTGGTGTTGGATGCTTTTTTCTTGTTTGTTATTGTGTAGTTAACTAGTTAGAATATCATGGGGACTATTGTTAACCAAAAAAATGTTGAGTTTCGTAGTTTGCTGGTTACTATTGCGTCTGTAAGCCGGGTTGGTTCGGCCTGAATTGTCACGTAAACGCGTTTCATTCAAAAACTTCACATGCTGACGCGTCGTGGCACAATGGTGGCACTTTCACTCAATCTTGTGGTATGTGGTACCTTTTCACACACCAACACACACTAATATTCACTTTCAATCCATTAATTTTCACTTTGAAGATTTTACCAATCATTTTTTTATTATCAGGTGACCGTTGTCAGATTTCTTTGGATGATTGCACAAAATTCGCTTGTTTGAATGGCGGTTCCTGTATTGAGACCTCAACAGGGTACCATTGTGATTGCCCTAAGACCCACGTGGGTGCCATGTGTGAACGATCCATAAAAGCAGCCTCCTGCGAGTTTAAACCCTGTCAAAACAACGCCACATGTCATCAGGACCCAAATGGTCGAGATTACACCTGCGTGTGCCTACCAGGTTTCGAAGGCAACAACTGTGAGCTAGATATTGATGATTGTCTAGGTGTGACATGTCCCACAGGTAAAATCTGTGTGGATATGATCAACGCGCATGAATGTCAATGCCCCGAGGGTTTTACTGGTGATTCATGCCAGATAGACATTGGTCAGGACCCATGTGGGGTTAATCCATGCCAAAATGGCGAGTGTAACCCTTCACCACCCGGTGGTCATCATAATTACACCTGTACCTGTGCATCTGGTTACCAGGGATTCAATTGCGATAAGGATATCAACGAATGTGAGTTACCTGGTGTGCCAATTTGTAATAATGGTATCTGCGTCAACAAAGAGGGCAGTTTTCAATGCTACTGCAAACCAGGTTATACAGGGGAAAGATGCAACCTTGATTTTGATGAATGTTTGTCCCAACCATGCAAGAACAACGCAACTTGTATCAACAAAGTGAATAACTACGAATGTGTCTGCCCACCTGGTTACCAAGGGAAAGATTGTAACATTAACATTGATGAGTGTGCTAGTAATCCCTGTATGATGGGATCAACCTGCGTGGATGGGATCAATAAGTTTACTTGTCTCTGTCAAGCTGGGTTAACAGGTGTGCAGTGTGAGATTGATATTGATGATTGTTTATCTTCGCCATGTTTACACGATGCGATGTGTATCGATGGGCTAAACATGTATACCTGCAACTGTACAGATACAGGTTATACAGGTGAACACTGCGAGATTAATATCAATGATTGTGTTTCGAATCCCTGTCAGAATGGGGCTTTGTGTATTGATTTAGTTAAAGATTACATGTGTGAGTGTTTCGATGGTTATGTTGGTAAGAACTGCCAGGAGGATATCAACGAATGTGAATCCTCACCATGTTTGAATTANGATCAATAAGTTTACTTGTCTCTGTCAAGCTGGGTTAACAGGTGTGCAGTGCGAGATTGATATTGATGATTGTTTATCTTCGCCATGTTTACACGATGCAATATGTATCGATGGGCTTAATATGTATACCTGCAACTGTACAGATACAGGTTATACAGGTGAACACTGCGAGATCAATATCAATGATTGTGTTTCGAATCCCTGTCAAAATGGGGCATTGTGTATTGATTTAGTTAAAGATTACATGTGTGAATGTTTCGATGGTTATGTTGGTAAGAACTGTCAGGAGGATATCAACGAATGTGAATCCTCACCATGTTTGAATTANTGGTGTGTGTCTTGAACGCAGTAATGCAACACTCTATGATACAACCCTGGAATCCAACGCGAACCTACCTGCAGTGTTCCGGAAGCAGTTTGAGTTCCATAATGCTTCCGGGTATGAATGTATGTGCGTTCCTGGTGTTATTGGAGAAAACTGTGAGATCAACGTCAACGAATGTGATTCCAACCCTTGTCGGAGTGGTACCTGCGTTGATAAGATAGGAATGTATATCTGTGAATGCGATGAGGGTTTTGAAGGTGCCCAGTGCGAGATAGACATCGATGAGTGTGAGAAATATCAACCGTGTGTCCATGGGTCTTGTATTGATAAGAGGGCGAATTATTTCTGTGACTGCGAGGCGGGTTACGGAGGAAAGAACTGTTCAGTTGAATTGACAGGATGTCGTGAGAATCCCTGTCAGAATAATGGTACCTGCAAGCCGTACCTTGATAATGAGACAATGCATAAGTTTAATTGCACGTGTCCACATGGTTTTCATGGTCATACCTGTGAAAGGGTTACCACGATGTCCCTAGCTGGTAATTCCTTGTTGGTTGTGAATACTTCTAGGGATGAAGGTCATGATATCCAATTCAGGTTCAAGACCACTTTGGGAGATGGTTTCCTAGCGTTGGGTAAGGGATCCACCTATTATATTCTGACTCTGGCAAAGGGTAGACTCAATTTACATTCGTCCCTGTTGAATAAGTGGGATGGAGTGTTTGTTGGAAGTAATCTCAATGACAGTAGCTGGCAGAGGGTGTTTGTCGCTATCAATTCATCCCACCTGGTCCTTTCTGCGAATGATGAGCAAACCATCTACCCAATCAACTATAACGATAATAATGGATCATCCACCAGTTTCCCTACGACCTATTTTGGTGGTTATCCCAATAATCACAGGAAACTAGCCCATGTCCAACCATTTTTGGTTGGTTGTGTTGAAGATATCATCGTGAACGGAGAATGGGTCCTCCCTGATACCCAAAACGCCTCCTGGGTGGGTTTCCAGAATGTAGTCACCGGTTGTCATCGAGAACCACAATGTGAACCCAATCCCTGTCACTCAGGTGGTCATTGTACGGATTTATGGAGCAATTTCAGTTGTACCTGTGAAAGACCTCATCTTGGGTACAACTGTCAGTACAATTACACAGCAGCTACCTTTGGTTATGAAAATATCACAGATTCTTTGGTAACGGTCACAGCGACAGACGCAGCTCGACGTGCGATAAGGTCCATTGTAGATATCTCAATGTTTGTACGTACAAGACAATCACGTGGACAAATCTTTTATCTGGGATCTGCGTTGGGTTCTGCCAATCTACAGAATGAGAGTTACATTGCCGCCCAGCTTGAAGGTGGGGAACTTTTAGTGCGTATTCAGTTCAATGGGACATTTGAAGCGTATACTGTAGGTGGAGTGAAGTTGAACAATGGTCATGATCACTTGATTCAAGTGATTCGGAATGTTACACTGGTCCAGGTTAAACTAAATGGTACCGAATACTTCCGGAAGACTATATCTGCCACTGGGACATTGGATGCACAAGTATTATTCCTCGGGGGACAACCTCAACTGAGACCTGTACGTCAGACCAATGATTTCAGCAAATCTCCAACTTCAACAGCTGAAGTAACAGCTGCTACTGGTCCTGCCGCGGTCACCACCCCTCTGAGTATGATCCACTTCAAAGGGATCATTCAGGATGTGCAAATTAGTGATGGGCAGAAGATAATGGTTGTCGAATTCTTCCCTCTACAAGCTGAAGAACTTTCCATTCCAACTGTTAGTTTTGGTACTGTCACCTTTGACAATGCTACAGTTTTAGAAGGTATTTTGTCTGATGATTCATGCCGGATCCAACCATGTCATCGTAATGGTAAATGCATCAACACCTGGAATGATTACCGTTGTCAATGCCCACATGGATTCAAAGGCAAGGACTGTATAGAGTTAGAATTCTGTGAGTTGGAAAGATGTCCAGATGATTCAACCTGTAGAAACCTAGAAAGTGGTTATGAATGCGCAGCGAATGCAACGTTTGATGGTGAAGCCAAACCATTAATGTACAACCTGACAACGCCAGATAACAAACATTATAGTGCTGATTCCATTGAGGTTACATATCGTACCAGATCCTGGGGTACTGTCCTTTTTGCCAAGTACCTGGAGAAATACTTTACCATTTTTATCTATCACGATGAAGTGGTTGCCGAATGGAATCTGGGAACGCAATTTGAAACTCGCAGATTCCGAAAGGAGCATTTTGATGGTCAATGGGTGACACTCCTCTTCAAATACAAAGATTCCATGCTCAAAGGAGGTTTCAAGGAGCATGTTTTAGACGACACACCGGATTTCACCACGAATGATTTCGATTTTGGAAATTTTAACGAAATATTCACTCGTGGTGTTATCTACATCGCTGGTTCTGATAACAAAACCTTTGATTACCGTGAGGTAATCAAAAGTACGGATTACAATGGTACCAGCTATGTTACCCCTGGCGGATACAACCACTCAGGACCCAGTGATTGTGAGCAATTCAGTTGATTTCATGGATAATACATTCCCTTCATACAAAATAGACTTGAGCAGGAATTCGGATCAATTTAAGGGATGTCTGAGTGACATACGTATTGGTAGATTACTAGTGCCTTACTATTCCACTGATGAATTGTTCAATCAAACAAGACCTGAGGAGTACTTCACTCAGTTTGAGAACGCAGAGAAAACAATCGGGTGTTTACTGTGTTACGAGAAGGATTGTTACAACAATGGCCGCTGCATTGAACCAAACAGCACTTATAAATGTCAATGTCCCGATGGTTATGCAGCTGATGATTGCAGCATTGATATTAATGAATGTGAAGACAATAAATGTGAGAACAACGCTACCTGTGTGGATCTCATTGGGAAATATGAGTGTGAATGTCAACTTGGCTACGATGGCACTTAGTAAGTTTATTTTAACCTTTAAACATTGAAAATATTACCTTTTTACCATTTTAGTTGTGAACATGATATTGATGAGTGTGCAAGTGGGCCCTGTCATAATGGAGGAAGTTGTATTGATCTCTTGGGGATGTTCCGTTGTGAATGTCCTGAGGATTATGTTGGGAGACAATGTGAGGCTCTACGACTGATTACATGTGATAATCAACCTTGTAAAGATGGCTCCACGTGTCGAAATGGCAAAAGTAAGTCAATTCACTCCAAAATCACTTCTTAAACATCTAATATTTATATTATTCCAGACGAAATGACACACAACAACTTCACGTGTCTCTGCGCTGAAGGTATGGTCGGTACCCTGTGTGATACGCCATATTGTTTGGTGAAATCCCATGGTTGTGAACACGATGGCCTTTGCAATACAACAAACCGAGTTCCTTTCTGTCAATGTCGCCTGGGTTACGAAGGAAGACATTGTGAGATTGACATTGATGAATGTATGGATGATCCGTGCCAAAATGGCGGACAATGTATCGATGGCGTAGGGAGATACACTTGTAACTGTACAGGTACAGGGTATGAAGGTACAAATTGTGAGATTGATGAAGATGAGTGCACAGACATCCCCAATATCTGTGGGGATTTGGGGAAGTGTGTTAACATGCCGGGGAGTTACCGGTGTGATTGTATGAATCGACGCTGTGGACACCAGTGCAAACTGGATGATCCATGTATTATCAATCCTTGTGAGCATGGAATCTGTCACAGTAAATGTGCGTATGAAGCTGCTTATGATTGTGAATGTGAACTTGGATGGGAAGGGAAGAATTGCAGTGAAGCACAGGTAGGTTACCAGTATAAAAACGGTCCCCAAATGAACACATTTACTAAATTTTATTATTTGTAGATTGAGGCAGCGTCCACAGGCAATTTTGACATCCTATACGTGATTATACCAGTCGTGGTCGTTGTCCTGTTGATAGTTGTGGTTGTTACCGTTGTTTTGGTAAACGTTGCACGCAGTAAACGTGCGACACGCGGTACCTACAGCCCCAGCGCTCAAGAATTCTGTAATCCACGTGTGGAACTTGATCATGTGCTCAAGCCTCCGCCCGAAGAACGACTTATTTAAGTATTTTTCTATAAACATTCCAATTTGAACTGAATGTGATGCAAACACACGAGATTGTACATAAAATGGAGGGACTCAAATGTTTATGTTATGTTTAGACTAATTTAGACTATGCGATGACAATGATATTTATTTCTAACTTCTAAGAGTGAATAGGCAGAGTAAATGTTATTTTTGATGTTCATGACAGGACCAAAGTTTGTAAATAGCGTTTTTAGTTTAAGTTACACGCAGACATTTTTATACAACTTTACATATTGTGGTGTGCCTTATGTACTTAAGAATTTCGTATGAATCTATAACCAGTTTTCTCAAAGTAACAGTATTTTGTAAGCAATGTTGATAATTGTACTTAATTTATATTAATAACGAAATAAGTATGAATATTTTTGTCTTGAATAGATTAATTGATTAAATGAAATGATACAGTAATGGTTTTTATGAAAATTTATAGTGAAATACATAATTTAAAAATCCGGGGACATTTATTTTGAAAAAAATGGTCCCCAATCATAGATGGCACCAAAAATTTACAGTTTATTCATCTGGTTGCTATGGTTCGTTGTTTATCCATAGAATAACCTCAGTTTATTTTATTTTATCATGATTTCTTGATTCAACATCAAGTTTTAATCATATTTTTAACTTATTAACTATTTTAATGATTTTATCATGAATATATCAATAAGTGATACATTCGACAACATTTCATTTAGTGCCAGTGGTCAGTTAATCAACAAAGATAACAATGTGCTGTGTGAATTAACAACAAACAACATAAATTCAATAAATAAAGAAGACAGTCAGTGAATGGTTCATCTTGTTTGAAGATTTCATTTGACGATAGTGCTTTTCTAAATGATTCATTTTCTTTTACTAAAAATGTCTCTCAACACTCACAAGTAAGTTAAAATTACTTAATTATCTGTACAAATGGTAAACAATTGCTTGAAATGTAATAAAAATTTTGTTTTTAGGAAATTGATAAAGAAAATATTCCAATAACTGTGAGTCCATTGCCCTCAACCACAAATTTATCTACAAAACCTGTAAACAAATCAATTTCATCAGTACAAAATGAACAATTCAAATTTTCTGAGTCAGAAGACAATAAACTATCAATTTTGGGTCTACCAGCTGAAATCCTACAAAAATACGAATGTCGCAATGTAACACGTATATTTCCATGGCAGTTGGAGTGCCTTTCCTGCAATGGCGTCCTGGAAGGCAAAAATTTAGTCTATTCTGCACCAACTTCCGCCGGAAAAACACTAGTCGCTGAAATCCTGGCCGCGAAAACGGTTCTCGAACGCAATAAAAAAGTCATATTTATTTTACCGTTTGTCTCCGTCGTGCGGGAGAAAATGTTTTACTTCCAAGACATTTTTGGATCCAGTGGTATACGTGTTGAAGGTTTCATGGGCAGTTACAATCCGCCGGGTGGATACAAAAACATAAACGTTGCCATTTGTACAATCGAAAAAGCAAACAGTTTAATCAATCGGTTACTTGACGAAGGTAAAATTGGAGATATAGGTGCTGTAATCGTGGATGAATTACATCTGATTGGTGATTCAAGTCGCGGGTACCTTTTAGAACTGTTATTAACCAAGTTGAATTACATTTCACGCAAAGATGATCTCAAGATACAGATTGTGGGAATGTCAGCAACGTTACCAAACTTAGATTTATTAGGAAAATGGCTGGATGCGTCTTTATACGTCACAACATTCCGTCCAATACCACTCAATGAACAGTGTTTAGTAAATGGGGACATTTTTAACTCAAAATTCGAACTAAAGCGTAGATTAGATAATATTCCAGAGTTAGAAATGGATACAGACAATATTCTACAATTATGTTTAGAAACCCTGTTGGAATCTTGCAGTGTTCTGGTGTTTTGCCCAACGAAGATCTGGTGTGAGAATTTGGCTGTGCAAATCGCCAGTGCTTTCTTCAAAATTGGCAAATCTGATTCCCGCCTTGGTGAAGAGTTGCGAAATAAATTACCTGTGGAACCCATCAGGGAATGCCTCGAACAACTTAAAAGATCTCCTGCTGGTTTGGATGATGTCTTACAGAAGACTGTAAGTTTTGGTGTTGCATTCCATCATGCTGGGCTTACCATGGATGAACGTGACATTATAGAAGGCGCTTTCCGAACTGGAGGTCTTCGAGTACTTGTCGCCACCTCCACTTTATCATCAGGTGTGAATCTTCCTGCAAGACGCGTGATAATTCGCAGTCCTACCTTTTTTGGGAAACCAATTGATGTTTTATCCTATAAACAAATGGTTGGTAGAGCTGGGAGAATGGGTAGAGACACCTCAGGTGAATCAATTCTAATCTGTCAGAAGAAGGATCTTGCAGTTGCAAAGGATTTGATGTCTGGGGAATTAGAAGCAATCAGTAGTTGTCTAGAAGGTTCAGGAAGACTCAAAAGAGCTTTACTTGAAGTTATAGCCTCAAAGGTTGCTTCAACTCCTGATGAAATAGACACATTTGGAAGGTGTACCCTTCTCAATCAAGAAGGTACAGCAATAGGTAATCCAATAACAGATGCTTTGGACTTTCTGCTGAAGTATCAATTTATAAGACTACAAGTTGATCAAGAAGATACTTCTAACCAACAGTATGTAGCTACACCTCTTGCAAAAGCATGTTTAAATTCATCTATGCCACCAGAAGAAGGTCTTGCTTTGTTTGCAGAGTTGGAGAAAGCAAGACAATGCTTTGTTCTGGAAACAGAATTGCATTTGATCTACTTAGTAACTCCTTTCAGTGTCCAAATTCAATCAATTGATTGGATGCAGTTCTTGGAACTCTGGGAGAAACTCCCAGCTAGTATGAAACGTGTTGGTGAGCTGGTAGGAATCAAAGTATCATTCATCATCAATTGCTCCAGGGGTAAAGCCCCAAATAATTCCAATAAACTAGCTGTTCATCGACGTTTCTACACAGCATTAGCACTGCAGGATTTAGTCAATGAGGTACCTCTGAACCAGGTTGCTCAAAGATTTGGTTGTAATCGTGGAGCTTTGCAAAGTCTCCAACAGTCTGCAGCCACTTTTGCAGGTATGGCTACTTCATTCAGTAAACAACTGGGTTGGAGCAGTGTGGAGCTACTGATTGGACAGTTCCAAGACAGATTACAGTTTGGTGTTAGCAGGGAACTCTTAGACCTGATGAGATTACCAATCCTCAATGGTCAGAGAGCAAGAGTATTGTTCAATGCAGGTGTAGAAAATCTTGTAGATCTAGCGGGTTGTAACGTCCTGGATCTAGAGAATATCCTGCACAAAGCTAAACCATTTGAGAGTAAAGAACGTGAGGGTGAGAGTAAACATGATGCAGAAAAACGTAACAACTTAAGAACTATCTTCATCACTGGAAAACGAGGTCTCACTGAGTTGGAAGCTGCAGGGATGATGATTGAAGATGCAAGGAAGTACCTTCAATATGAGATTGGTTTAACTGATGCTAATTGGTCAGGAAATGAAGAAAATGAGACGCATTCTAGTCAGGAATTGAATAAAACAAAAGCAGATCTTAGTTCAATAGTAGAATCACCAAATGAAACAAATACAGAAGAGAATAAAGCTGAGAATTCTTTGGAGAATGTAAATTCATCTTTGAAAGAAGTTAATTTCTGTGATTTAACTTCACTGAGATTAAGTTCTTCATCTGACAGTATGTTTAATGATTCATTTACTGCCCAAATGAAATTAGTGCAGAATCTTAGCGATGATAAAGTACAATCTGAGAATCCACCTGATAATAACTCAGATTCGTTGTTAACGAAAGCTTTCATGGACAGTTTTAACGAATCTCTTACTTTAAGAACTGATAAATCTTTTGTTGAAGATGTACAACCAAGAAAAAGACCAAGTGATGACATAAAATCCACACATTCATCTTCTAATTCTTCTGTTGTAAGTGAAGATGATATGTTTACATCTCCAATACCTCCAAAGCTCAGCAGACGTTCAAAAAGTACTTCTGATCATGTAGAAGATGATCCACAACTGGAAATTATTAATGTATGTGATAATATTGTACTTTTTAAACATTTCATTGATTTATTAGCGACACATACTGCAATATCTTTATCTCTTGCTTGTGAAGACTACGAAGAAGAGAAACAGGAGATTGGGATAAGAAAATCTATCAAATTGAAGGATAATTTCACTTATAAATCGACTAAGATTCATGGATTGGCTGTGTATTGGCCTGAGACAACTAAAACTCCAATTAGTTATTATATAGAATTAGAAAAATTGATCAAAATGGAAGGCGGAG